TTACTGCTGTCAAACTCGAATTCAGGGTTTCCTGACTACAAACTGATTATCCCCCCTGTAAGGAAAATCATAAATTTCTAAGCTGTATTAAGTAGATATAATTTGGGGTTCATTAAATTTTGCGGTGGATTCAGGCCATATTGCAAACTTAACATTCAACAATAATAAATGAAGGGGTACGGTGTTTTATGAATGAACATTTCACGGTCCCAAAATCTCATAAGTAAAAATTTTCTTGAAACCAGAAGGCGCTCCCTCCTCGGATATAAAGTTCAAATAAGACGTAATTTATTACCACATATATAGAAGAACGAATAATTCATATGCATGTTTCCTATAAAGCATATTTAAATTTGTAAGCGCATTAAAAATCGATGAGAAATATACCTATTACTCAGGTAGTCATTTTGGGTGGTGTAATTTTTGCGGACGACCGAAAAGAGGCCCCTTCAAAAGCCCGCATCCCGACGTGACTGGAATATATTGGGACTACGCTGCATGGTAATTAATATTGCAATCATTCTTGAGTAAGCTTTTGGAGTCGACACTTCATGGGGTAGCACATTTACTGTATGCGATAATAGAATCTTACATTCGCTAATAATTTAATATGAAGGTACTCCTTTTTCTTATGTACAGAGATGTAGATCCTTAAATACTTGTAATATATACGTTTTCAGGAATTTTGGCTGTAAACAGGCTTTTTCTCGTTTCTCACCTGCTACGATATTGGGCTTGAATCCTTCCATGTCCTCCTACAATGGATGCTGGCTCCTTTAGATTTTTAAAATGTCCGGTGACTGTTCCCTAGAATTTTCTAGCAAACTGCACGAACTTTCACAAAAGCCGTCACCTACTGTATCTCATTTAACTAGTAATGAAGTGGCGCACAGTCTTCCATTAATTTTCGCTATTTATAGGGGTCGATTAATGCTCCCGAGAAGAATTGCATAAAAGGCCATACAAATTGCTTTCAAGTGAAGTTAAATGTTACTGTGCATTTGAAAGTAGCACTTTTATTGCGGATTAATATATTGTAGGCTTGGAACAAACTCAAGTTGGAATATCACAAGGACGGACTTTTACAATTTCTCCGTATAAGCAAGTTCCCACTCACCACTGTGTTCCGTATCGAAATGTTCACGCGCGGATGTTCCATATAATCTATCGGTTCTCCGCCCTTGAACCACTCAACCGTCGCCTCCGGATGAGCGTCCCACTCACAAGAGAGTCTCGTGTCGCCACCTCTGATGATCGGTCTGGGATTTTCTCCTTCCGGTTCGACCAAAACTGGCGGATCTTTAAAAAAAGGAATTTAAACCGTCAGATAAAAAAAGCACTGGCTAAATTGCATCAGTGGTTTCTATTTGCACAGTATTGAAATAAACATAACATTAGCTTCTAGTAATATCGCTACTACAAAAGCTACGGCCTCTGTCAACGCCATGCTCAGTAATTTTAGCGGTAGTATAATTTAATTAATGCTTGTCGTCTAACTTTAACCTTATAAATGCCACAACGTGTAATGCTATAATTGTTGGTTTCTTTAAATTTCCTTAGAAATCAACCGCGAACTTGAGGTGGATCAGTATATCTAAGTTGCATAAGCTCACACCAAAGTTTTTTATGTATGAATATTTGGGCCGAATCAATCAACCATACTGGATAATCGCGTAATGGGCATTAACTGCAGACAGACAGCTAGTAGTGGCCAAAAGCCCATACACGCGTGTTTCGTCGATATTCTGCCGCTTCATGACACAGCTGCGGGGGGTTTGGCTCGTCAGTGGATCCCCCAGCATTCCCCGTCTGCTTTCTAGTAGATACTCCAATTTAGAAATTGCTGCTTTTTAATTTCATTAGAAATTAACTGCGAACTTGGAGTAGATCAGAAAGCAGAAAGGGAATGCTGGGGACCCACTGACGAGCCGCAGCTGTGTTATGAAGCGGCAGAATATCGGCGAAATATGTGTGTATGGGCTTTTGACAACTACCTGTGCTGTTAGTATGGAATCGCCTTACCCTAATGCCATAACTACTGTGGATATTTCGACTATTGATTCTTTAAGCACAGTTCTACCAATGATGCCACTAAGGGGAGTTCCAGTACGACCTCCGCGGAAACTTGTTTTCAGCAAACACAATCAGTCGACCGTGTGCGCTTAAATATCTGCTAGAAACCTCACAGAGTGAAAAGATGACGCTGGACATGACTTAGTTAGGAAAATCACGAGGCACCTGGTCGCTCTTCTAAAAGTTATCATGCCGTTGTGAACTTACAGATCAGAGTTGGATCGAAGATACGTCTGGCTTCACCAGCTTCGTTGATGGCATTGCAGATGTACCGGGAAACGAGATCCTGTGTGACGTTCGGGAAGTAGAGACCTTGGCCGGAGGCAATGATGCGAACCCTGTCGTTCAATTGGTCCGCCACCATATCCTTGAGAGCCAAGGGAGAAATACTTTCTTATATTCAAACCAAGGTCTGCGGGCGCTCCCCTTAGCTTTCGTCAACTTACTCATTTTTCATTTGAAAATCTCTCCTTTGTCGGTCCAAGGTATCTAGCATGTGGTGACCCCGATGTGATCGCAAGGCAAACACATGAATTAGCTCGGTGGCAGTGACTCACTGTGTGCACTCAGTGCTTAGAGTCTATATACATATATATATATATATATATATATATATATATATATATATATATATTCATCAACACGCGCAGCTACACAGGTTTAGCGATGATTAAACTCATTTTGCGCTAGTCCACGCCCGCAGTAACTTACCTCTTTTCCGTATAATTGGTTTGCAAAATATGCATACACTTGAGCCGTGTCCCATTCACCCCCAGTAGTTTTGTTTGCCTAATCCGCTTCTCGGATGGGTTAAACATATGTGGAATGCACAATGATGAAAAATAAGACATGGCTTTGACAGTGCAAGACCAGTTTCTTCTCCAATTCCTGACTTAGATATCAGTTTATTCTTTATTCCTTTCAAAATTTCCTCACCAACTTGGGAAGACAGCGGGAGGATGCTGCTTTGAACGCCCCCTCAGCATAATCTGATTAAGCGCAGACAATCAGGCATCGGCGGTCACCATCGTGTACGACGAAATAAATATGACGAGAAGGAGATATGGAGAGATAGGGCGTGAAAAGGGGGGCTGGAGCCGCTGCTGCCTATCTCACACTTTTATCTAATATTTTCTGAAAAGATGCCAAGTGAAATTACATCTACACGTCTAGACAGAATGGTCACAAACAGACCCCAAAGACTCGTTTTGTCGGCGACGTGGATAATCGGTAGTTGGGTTTAGGGGTACGAGCCCTAGGATCTCCACTGCTCAGGCTCTCCTTTTCTGAGGTCAGAGTTTTGCTGTCTTCACCTACGCTCTCTTGCTGTGGCGAGGGTTGTCTGGATAACTTTGCCACCTAAATTTTCATTTGAAAATCTCCCCTTCGTCGGTCCAAGGTATCTGACAATTGGTGACCCCGACGTGATTGCAAGGCAGACACATGAATTAGCTCGGTGGCAGTGACTCACTGTGTACACTTAATGCTTAGAGTCTGTATATATATATATATATATATATATATATATATATATATATATATGTCAAGTGGGCGTTTGACCCTCACTGTTGTGGTTAGGATCTCACTCGATCCCATTCTGTCCGCCCGCCAGCTTGCTACTGGCGACAACGAACGCTGTGTCAGAGGACACATACCACATATAATACATGAGCAGCTCGCTAAGAGTGCAACAGGCCAGACGCAGACAGCTGTTTCACGGTCGTTACCGATCATCAGTACGTCATAGGCCCACTGGACATGCTTACTACATCCAACTAAGGTAGTAAATTTGTCATCGAGAGCCCTTACGATAACCGAAGAAGATGTGCTTTCCAAGGGCATGAAATACAACCTCTCCGATTCAAACTACCTAGACTTCCTTGCAAACCTGGAGTCCATAATATCGTCAGAAGATCTCACAGATGATGAACGTTTCGTCATTCGGAATAGCACTATACAGGCCCTAAAGAACCGAAGCTACTTTTCAGTTTTGTCACGCGAGGAAATGAAGGCGATAAAAACCCTGAAAACTGACAAGAACATTGTCATTCTTCCTGCAGACAAAGGAGGCTCAACGGCAATTTTAAACAAATCAGACTACAATAACAAGATGCTATCGTTGTTAGAAGATAGGTCAACTTATATGCCCCTCACCATTGACCCTACCAAAGAACAAATTTCATCCATTGATAAAGTGCTGAAACGTCTTGCAGGAAAGAAACAACTACCAGGAGAAATCGCGAAATCCCTGAGACAAACTGAACCAACAATCGCTAAAATCTATGGACTACCGAAAGTCCACAAACCTGACGTACCATTGCAACCGATAGTATCACTAATCGGTGCACCGAATTACAAAATCTCTAAATGGCTATTCCACAAACTCCATCCCTTAACAAAGGATTGTGAGACTTCAATCGAGAATTCAGTTGAATTCCTAGACAAGATAAGAGGACTCACTATTGAATCAGATGAGATAATGGTGTCGTTCGATGTCATCTCTCTATTCACGTCCATACCACTCGATTTGGCAAGGCAGTGCACAGAAGAACTCTTACAGTCCTACGACATGGATGTTCCTGCATCTGCTTTGCTTGAACTCTTGGACCTATGTCTGGAAACGAACTTCTCGTTCGCACATGAATGTTATCGACAGCTGAAAGGGGCTCCAATGGGGTCACCTATTTCTGGATTTTTGGCTGAAGTCACAATGCAAAAATTAGAGGCTATGGCCTTACCATTATTCAACCCGAAATTGTGGGTACGCTACGTCGATGACACCTTTGTCATCGTCAAGAGAGATCAGCTAGAAACTCTTCATAAAGCTATCAACTCAACACTACCGGGAATTACGTTCACCCTCGAAAGAGAAGCTAACAGCAAACTCCCATTTCTTGATGTCCTCGTACAGCGAAGAACTGACGGGACATTCCAGACATCAGTATACCGCAAAGAAACTTACGCGGAAGTTATCCTACATTACGAGAGCAACCACCCTATGGCTCACAAACGGAGTGCAGTTAAGACCCTACTTAATCGAGCAAAGACACATTGCTCTGAGAACGAAGGTTACAAAGAAGAACTCAATTATCTATTCAACCTATTTTCCCAAAACGGCTACCCCAGAGATTTTGTACGCAGATGCATGAAAGAGCAGGAATCAAAAGAAAGAGAGAAGGAACTAGATTGTTCCGATCAGACGCCAAAACCAAAACATTGGCGAACGCTTCCCTACATTAAAAATGTGTCTGAACTCGTTGAAAGACACCTGAGGAAGCACCAAATACAAGTGGCTCACAAACCGACTACCACGCTACGCAATCAGCTTGTAAACCCTAAGGATAGGGTTGGCTATTTGGATAAGAAAGAAGTAGTCTATAAGATTCCATGTGGCACTTGTAATGCAGTGTATTGTGGTCAAACCGGAAAATCCGCCTCTACACGCCTACATGAACACCAATTGGCAGTGAAGAGGCGGGACCACTTATCCCAAGTCGCCATGCATACTCTTGAAACTGGGCACAAATTCGCTTGGGATAAAACACGCATTGTCGGTTCCTGCCCCTATAAGAAAGGCCGAGAATTCCTAGAGGCCATTCACTCTGATGATTCCTGCATCAATCGACGCATCGACCTTGACAACATGTACACAAGTCTCAAAGAAAAATGGAAAAGGTAATAGCCAATCAAGACGTGACATCAGCCCACAGCATTAACCCATCCTCAGTCATGAGAGAGCAATATCGATTTTTTCGGCATTGTTTAAATTTTGACTGTTTCTTCACACTTACTACACGTCTGAAGATGAGCTGGGGAACCAGACTCGAAAATTTACGAAATAAAGTTTGTTCGTTTTCCCAAAGGACTCATTCTTCTTCGAAATATATATATATATATATTCATCAACACGAGCAGTTGCACCGCCCTCTCAGCATAATCTGAATCAAGCGCCGATCATCAGGCATCGGCGGTCACCATCGTGTACGACGAAATAAATATGACGAGAAGGAGATATGGAGAGATAGGGCGTGAGTACGTACCCCTGACCATTTGAACCTCGGTGGAGGATGACCCGTTGCATTGCACCAGAGGAAGGCCGGCTTGTGTTTAACAAGTTCGGGAGTCTCGTGATCCAGCCCATCATGGAAGATTGGACTCGCTAGGGGAGATTATATCATGAGGCAATATTAACTGGACTGGCACGTTGGCGTTCAGACAGGATTTCAAATAGTCAGCTTAGGACGTACCGAGTACTGACAGGTTCATGATGTGTCGATCGCGACCAACAGGGTTGATAGCCACGCAGGTGTAGGTACCGGCATCCTGTGCAGTCACTTTGGACACCACGAGCTCTCGACCCTGATCCAGGAGGATGTACTTGGAGCTGATCGTTGTTATCTCAACAGTATGCTTGTCGACCTCGTGCGTCGTGACAACGGGCTTCACGCTGGAGGCGACAGGCGTGTCGTCTTTCAGCCACTGATAAGTGGGCTCGGGAGAACCGGTAGCAATGCATCGGAGACGTATGTCTTCACCCTGCCTGACTTGTTCCTTTGCTCGTGAAGAGGAGCCCAGAAGGATACTTGGTGAAGCTTGAAAATAAAAGAACTACTTATTACATTATGGTAACTTATTTGTATACCCATAATCAGACCGACAAGGTTGGAAATGGGGAGTGCTCCTTGATAAATGTGACAAACTCATTCGCGGGTAATAACCAATCCAAGAAATATCAGACAGTCTGGAAAACCCACAACCCAGCAAAACACGCAATGGACGGAGAGAACCGCAGGAGTGCGGTAGATGTGCCTTCGCTTCCTGCAAGCCGAAGTTTAGAAAGAACTACAGATTTCTACATTGTTGATTATACGAAAAGACAATACTAAGTCATGAAAAAAACTTTGTGGCCAATGTTTCAGCGGTTCACAATGAAAATGTATGTAAACCAAAAGGTATAGTCTTCGATCCCGTGCTTTCGAGTATAGAAGACAACATCCCTAGGACGCCAGTCTTTCCGAAATTTGCGGTCATTCTGGAACACCTCCGAATGGCAACACCTCTCAAGAACGAGAATGTGAGCGCATTCAGACTCTGTCCTACCGAACGGATATGCATTGCTACACAGGGGATGGGAGTGTGAAGGAATGAGGTTATTGGCGACGCATTTCCTCCTCTGACCGAAAACGTCACAATTTCGGAAACAAACGCCTTCAAGGAGGATGAGCCAGCATCGATATCCAGTAGAAAACGAAATAGTAAAATTAATAGATAAAGTATTCTTGAAAGGAACATAACAAGCTTAACGTCGCAGCCACCAAAATAGTCGCCCACGCCGGAAACAGAACAGGTCGAGTATTGGTTGAAGCCTAGGCCTCGGATGAGAACTCGGTCAATCGATTTATCGATTTGGCGCCGACGTACAGAGCCCTGCGTAGTCACCTCCAGTCTTGCGCCGTCGGTCGATGATTGGCCTAAATGCCCTATAACTGTCGCTTGTTCTGCTGCTGCTGCTGCTACCTCTGACGATGGACTTCTGTACAAGTCTGAAAGCTCAAGACAATAAACACAGTGTTCCGGTGTTCGACTCTTCTTCTTAAGGAACGCAACACTTGGTAATGCCCATCAACGTGAGTCTTAGACCCTCGAATACGTCAACAATTCACCGTCTACCCGCGAATTGTCTGTCCCTCGCAGACACACCAATAGTGATCCACTTTGGCAGTTTTCCCGGAGAAATAATGTAAAACGACGGATTCAGCATCGACGAAGCGAATAGCCTGCACGAATTAGCAGCAAGTGTACGCAATCGCGCCTAGTTTTTTGTAGTCCGTTGAATGGTAATCGACATGCTTTTGAGGGCATGTAAGCCATAGGCGAACAGATCAGCGAGGTCCGACAGCTGCAATGAAGGTAGTTAAGCGCCTAGCCGATTCATCATTTAACCTATGAACCTCTTCGCCACAAACACCGGACCAATACGAAAAATGAAACGGAAAATCGGATTGGTAGTAGAGAAGACAATTCTATCAGAGAATTCTATGATTTCCAAAGGACCCGGAGATTGACTGCCTTTCTTTCTCTCTCTCTCTCTCTCTCTCTCTCTCTCTCTCTCTCTCTCTCTCTCTCTCTCTCGCTGGCTGTCTGAAGGAGGTATGAATAAATTCGGCGACAGTTCGCGTCTCGGCCTCGCATGTACTTGAGAACTTCTGGCCGTTATTTCTTGCTCGGCTGTGTGCACCCTGTAGTTGCGCGTTTTGGAAATTGATTCGCCGTTTTTTTTTCTATGCTTGCTCATGTTCGGTCATCTTTAGCTCGAATTTGCGCATTTCTATCACATATGCCGATGTTTTAACCTCTGAGGCAACGCCTGCACTTTTTCAGCGGAATGGAAAGGGACCCATTGACTGGTCCGCGTAGATATTGAAGTATTCTCACAGTCTGCCTTGAGCAAGGCAGACGACCAGTTACGCTCCCGCGTCGATTGGACATGCAAACCTGACTATTATGGGAAGATAAATTGGCGAGCCAACGTTGCTTTCGATAACTTCTCTTCAGGCTGGTATAGTTATATGGAAACTGGGTACAGTGAGTGAAAAAATCAATAAAAGTGAGTTTTTTTAAATACAGGCCAGGCAAGAGCGGAAGGGCGCAGAAAGTTGTATGTGATTAGTCAGCCTTTGACAGCAGTAAGCGCGGAGCCTGAACAAGGTTCTTCTGGGCGCATAGGGTCGGTTTTCGTGACCGGATGGCGGCTGCTTCTGCTGTTGCTAACAGGCGTTGGCCCAGTAGCTTAGGATAGCTCGAGGGGGCCTTAGAAATTACACGAAATGCTTCAGCGGGGTCCACATGATGCCCTGAGTCTACTGCATGCGCAAGGATGGCGCTGTCTATTCTCCTAGTTTCACCTTTTGCTAGTCATGCAGGAAGGTGCTCTCGTATTCTGGTGGAAAGGCGCTGACTTGCACGACCAATTTGACCTGCTCCACAAGAGCAAGTGGATGAGTAGATGCACATTGAGGTGGTCTGAGGTGGCAGCCTATCTTTGCCTTCTTCGCGTCAACTAGGGTTAGTAGGGAATGATGTGCAAACCCTTGCTGCTGGGAAGGTTCGCAAGACAGCTTGGTCAAGGCGTCTTCTTAGGGGTTCACTCGCAGCGTCTCCTTGCTTAGGCGTCAGCGAAGAACTCTCGAGCACTTATTACTCCTTGCCAAAAATACGGATAATCCAAGATTCGGAGCTCGCTTACGAACGAAAGCCTAACAGCTCATTACTGCCATATTCTTCCATTAATGAATGCCTACCTGCCCGATATGACCTGATAGGTTTCGATACATTAATGAATTCGGGTGCGAAAATGCGGGTGACTCATCAGTTAGACTTCATACATCCATCCATCACACGTGTAGTAGTTGTTGTAGTAGTAGTAGGTGAGTTTATTTGTGTTTTCAATTGCATTTGTTAACTGAAGTAGGACTGGTCTAAAGATGGCATGAAGCACCAGCTGTCTCACTCACGACGAGTTATATATATATGCATTTGTAAAACGCATAACTTACACGTAACCTCCAAGAAGTAAGATATATCCCAGTCGCCGGGAATGTTCTCCGCCTCGCACTTGAACTGGCCCTGATCCTCTTGTTGCACATTGTATATTGTCAGCGTGGACTCATCCTTGGACAGCGAGAAGCGTTCTGACAAAAGGGGGGGGGGCGGGAGTATCATTCATTACTTTCGCATCTTGGATTGTTTGCTGACGCATCATAACTTGAGAGGCAAGTATGTATAGGCATGTACTTACCCTGAGGCATCGCGCTGAACAGTTCCTGCCCATCCTTGTACCACTTTATCCTTGGCGGGGGATTCGATGTCAGCTTGCAGGTGAAGGTAATGTTGCCGCCCAGCGTGATGGAGGTGATGTTCTGCGCCACGGGTCTTTCACCGCTGGGTTCTAGACAGTGTACGCAAAGAGGCAGTTAGACGTTGGCGAGCAATCTGCAGGGCGTACTACGGAAGCCCTCGGACAAGCGCATCTAGGGCACTTCTTACCGAATACGGTGATTGTTGCGGTCCTGGCATCTCTGCCAGCCTCGTTCTCCGCCAGACACGTGTACTCTCCGCCGTGATGGTGCTGAGCAGCCATGATCATAAGGTTTCCGTCGCCGACCAACCTAGAAGGCAGAAACTGTATGAAGCAAACTCTGTGCGCAGCGATCGGTGTTCACCAGCTGTGCAGGAGGTGACCTTGGAAGTACTGATTTATGTTTAACGTGTCCCAGGTCTGATCATGGGCAAAAGTGGACCAAAAACTCTAGGCAACAATTTTCACTTGTAAAGACGGTCTGGAATCGTAATTCGGAATGTCAAACAAAAAGACATCTTTTTCCTGATAGAAGCGAACAGGCGAGTTTCGGGTAGCAGTTCAATAGACGAAGATGTGATCACTGGAACAGAAAATTTATTAGCCTAACGTTTCGGACTCTCACTCGAATCCATCATCAGAGACAGTCGCCGATCAACCTATAAGGCGTAAACCAGGAACCGTATAAAGGAAACTCTGTGCGCAGCGATCAGTGTTCACGATTGTAACCAGCTATGCAGGAGGTGACATTGGAAGTACTGACTTACAGTGAGTGAGCGATCTCATGAAATGTTGGCCTAAATTCCGAAATGCGTTTCCGATTAGGATGGATTACTTAGGTGGGGTTGTAATATTGATTATCTTGCCGCATAAGCCTATAATACTTCGGACTCAGCAGGATGTCAGCTTTTAAATTAATTCTTTCTCAGTCTCCCAAAGAAACCGTGCTTAGCGAAATATGGCTACTTAAGTAGCATGCGTTTTTTACACTGATTTTCGCTAGTCATATAAATTTAAATTTATTTTATAAAAAATGAGCAAATATATTCTTTCTTCCACTCGTTTGATAGAAAATCACGCCAAATTCATATTTTATACTCGAAGAGTATAATCAGGTTTTCAAAAAGTTTCAACTTATGCGATTTTTTTAAAACCGTGCAATGTTTATTCATACAGCATTCTACCTGTCCGTTTACCACTGTTCCTCATGAAACGTACAACAGAGTCCGCATCCATTGCAAAATTTTATAGACTCTATATGGCATCTTCTTAAAGGCATAGAGAAATATATGATTCTCCTTACGCGGAACACATGCAGCTGGCAGGCTGAAATCGCTAGGCGTTAATGCAAGGGCTGATCGGGCTCCAAATTATTCGGCAACTAGAGAACTTTTTGTAACCTAATTATATTCCTTCTTCGAGTATAAAATAGAAAGACGGCGTGACTCTTTATCAAGCGACTGAAAGAAAGCATGTTTTTGTTCGTGTTTTCTGTAAAAGGTATTTAAATTTATGAAACCATCGAAAACTGATGAGAAAGAGTGCATGCTACTTAAGTATTCGTTTTTTACCAAGTACGGTTTCTACAGGAGATTTAAAAGCAGTGTACTCAAAAGCTGACATCCTGCCGAGTCCGAAATATTATAGGATTATGCCGCAAGATAATAAATATTACAACCGCTCTTAAGTAATCCTTCCTGATTGAAAACGCATTTCAGAATTTTGGCCAAAATTTCATGAGATCGGTCAATCACTGTATGTCTAAGGTGTCGCAGGTCTGATCATTGGTAAACGTGGACCATAAACTAGGCAAAAAGCTTCACTTTTGAAGACGGTCCGCAACCGGAATTAGGAATGTCAAACAAAATGACATCTTTTTTGTCAGAGAGAGGAAGTTCCTTCCTCGCTTGTCAGATCAGTCCCTCCGGACAGTCTGACGTCTGAACTTGAACTTCTGAAAATTTTCGCGCTTCGTGGAAGGTGGTTCTGACAACGATAAATGTACGCAGTCGTGAAGTAGACCCTAGTCTAGGAAAAGTGCAGCGAATTTAAAATTTCGAAAATTGAGGAAGCGCAAACATCCATACGTGGCTCTGTCAGCGCATCTGTTTAATAACATCGGAAAAGCCTTATCAAGTATATTAAAAATCGAATAAAACAATAATTTTTAGAGTAGTTTTCATTCATTAAAAGTCTGTTTGCGATCTACAGCTGTTTCCTAACGAGATAGAAGCACGAAATTCCGTTACTAAAAGCAAAAAAATGGAAAACCCGCGAGTTGAACTCCCCTTTATGGTGAAACCAACAATTTATCATGTGGATATTCAGCGCCATGGAAAAGCGTTACCACCTGCAGAAATATCCTAAGCATGTACCGGGGAGTGAGGTGTAATTTCTATCCTAACTCACACGAGTCTTGCAGAACGAGATCATACCATTTTCTTCCTAATGACAGTTTAACTGACGTCCACCGTGTACCTCACAGCGGAGTGTGAGTGAGGACGATGACTTGCGAGTGAGTTAGTTTGCAATCGGAGTAGACTTGCACAGCATCTACCGCACCCACTCCTCCTCCGCAGCTACCTGGGTCCGGTGTCAAAACAGAATCGAGAAAACCGGAGGCGGGAAAAGGCGCAGGTGGCTTGCACGGTAAAACCCGTACCTAGGCGTACCACCACAACACTGACCAATATTTTGTACACGAAGAAAATGAAGGAGAGGGGGTCACAACGGATCCCAAGATTAAAAAAGGCCTAGAATCCCCGCAAAAGTTCTGCCTGACAGAAAACGCGGAGAAGCAATACCCCAAACCTAACGGTAAACCTAACCGTAACCTCAAAAGTAAACCTTACTGATGAACGTAATTATAAACTAGCGCTAACTCTAAAGTCAACACAAAACCTAACCCTAGACCAAACCTTAACCCTGACCTAAATCCCAACCCTAAACTCAACCGTAATCAAAACCCAAATCCTAACCTGAACAATAACCCTAATCTTGACCGTAACCCTACCCTAACCCGAACACTAACCCAAACCCAAACCTTAGCACTAAACGTAAACCTAAACCGCGATCCAAACCCTAACTCTAACCGGAATCCTTAAACTCAACACAAACCCTAACCCTAAAGTCAATTCTCAGCCTGACACTAACCCAAACTTTACCTCTAAACCGAAACATCAGGTTGCCTATTTCTGTTTTAGCTTTGACTATTTTCCCACAAAGGATTTCAGCATCCTCCTTCGGTTTATTTTTTCTTACAATGTCCGCATTGCGTTAACACTTGGGACCAGGACAGTATAAACGACCCCTGCCCTAAACGCTATAAAGTATGGCATATATTTTGGCGAAAGCATATAGTACTGGCTGCTTGTTGGTAATTTATGAATATTACACGCCGAAAAGAAGACCTTGTTCCTCAAGGTCTCTTTCCAAGGGGACGCCGCGAGTGAACTCCTAAGGAGACGCCTTGATCAAGCTGTCTCGCGAACCTTCCCAACAGCAAGGGTTCAAATATCATTCTCTACAAACCCTATTTTACGCGGAGAAGGTAAGGATAAGTTGCCACCGCAGACCACCTCAGTGTGCATATATTCCTTCACTTGCTCTTGTGGAGCAGGTTATATTGGTCGCACGAGTCGGCGCTTATCCAAGAGAATACGCGAACAACTCCAGGCATGGCTGGGAAAAGGCGAAACGAGGAGTATAAGCAGCGCCATTCTCGCGCATGTGGTCGATTCCGGACCCCAACGAAGCTTTTCGCGTGATTTATAAAGTCCAATCGAGCTACCCTAAGCTACTAGGCCAGCGCCTGTTAGCGACAGCGGAAGCGGTCGCCATTAGGTTACGAAAACCGACCCTATGCGCACAGAAGAACCACGTTCAGGCTCCGCGCCTACGGTGTTCGAGGGTTGACTAACGGTGCAACTCCCCCCGCGCACTTCCGCTCTCACCCCGGCCCTGACAATGACTACTGCTACCCCCCCCGCCCTACCCCCCCTCCCACAGTCCCACACCCTGCCTGTGTTTTAACGAGAGCTTTTATCGATTTCTCTTATCGCTGGCATGTTTGACTTCTACCCCGTTTCTATATAACTGTACTGGCCCGATGAGAATTTATCGAAAGCTACGTATGCTCGCCACCTCGTCTTCTGACAACAGAATTCCTTAAAGACGAAATTTGAGAACTGTTTGTATAGCTCATCTGATGCAAAGAAATGCTGACTTTGTCTCTCAAGTGGGGTTATTTTGGTAAAAGTAAAATTTGGTCAAACGGGACGCCAAGACCAGTGGCTGATGGAAGTCGGCCCAAATATTCATATCTGAGCGTACAAATCCCAAAGAGGCTGATTTGCCTCAAGTTAACGATTAATTTCTGAGGAAATCAAAAACTGGCAATCTTAACGTAACAGAATTCTCTAAGGAAATCTGAGAACTGTTTGTATAGCTTATCCGATGCAAAGAAGCGCTGATTTTGTCGCTTAAACGACGATACTCCGGTAAAAAGAATAAACTTTGATCGAACAAGACGTTGAGACCAGTGTAGACCGGGAGGTCGATAGACCTCATAGTCCGTCGCCTAATCTGACCATTGATGACCGTACCAAAATGCACCGCTTCCATCGATTATTTCAGTTTTCAGGAGCATCGGATAAGACCTTTAAGCGTAAATTCATAAAAGGCTGTAATTTGCCGTTTATACAACTCACTAAAACCTTTCTCAACTGCTAGGCGTCGCCTTTTGTTCTAATCAATAATCTCAGTTCCCACAATAATGATTTATTGGATTGCACTGTGTTGACCTTCGTCCATCTCATCTCCATCGTCGTGGTGCACGTGCTTATATAGTTGACATCAGAGCGTCAGCACTATATAGCCGCATTCGAAAGTGGCGCGCCCGGATGATGTACTGCTGGTTTTGGATTCTTCTAGCGACTGCTTCGCCGGCCTTTGGCTACGGTGACTACTTTTACCCCGACGCTGAAAGGCCCTTTGAGGGTCAGTATGATTTCAGTGGATGCGATGAGGTTGAATGCTGGTCTGGGAGGTTCCGCGGCTTTGGTTGCAGTCAGGGGCGCTGCGAATACGTCTGCCTAGGGAGCTCTTGCACTTTTGGAGATCGCGAGTTCGTTTCTATTGCGCCCACCGACACCAACCATGCGACGGTCTCCAGCAGGGTTTCAAAGACGACTGCCAAGGTGGAGAACCGGTTTCCCGGCTGCTACGGGCGCCAGTGTCGGTCTAATGGGGCCTACGGTTTTGGCTGCCTGGACGGTACTTGTGAGTATGTTTGCAAGGACAAGGACTGTTACTACGACGCCAAGATCGGTAAAACAACTCACCATGGACATCGGTCGCATGACAGACGGATCCTTTTCACCAACTGTGACGAACCGCAATGTACGTACTCTGGATACTTTGGATTTGACTGCATCAAGGGAGACTGTCAGTTTATCTGCAAGGACGACTACTGTGATTACAATCGCGGTTCTGTAAAAGCCGCGATGACCTTGAGGAGCCACCGGAAGAAGGCATCAAACAGGGTGCGCACAAACTCCAAATTCCAGACACCGGTGAGGTTTGTCGGCTGTCGGACCAGCAAGTGTCAGAACCAGCAGCTGAAGGGTTACTACTGCAAGGACGGTCTGTGTTCAGTTGTATGCAAACAGTCACACTGTTGGCGCAACCTTTACTTCTCCCCCTCCCACGCAGTCTGATTCATCTACACGGCTTTTAAACAGACATTTTGGCCTCATTTTATTCGAAAATGTTGTAAAATCCCACAGTCGCTTTTGAGTTTGCCATTCTACTGCATTCTGATTTTCATAACCTCTAGGGATCATTTTGCAGCCACTCACTGCACAACATCTCACATCCTATCATCCGACTTTAGCTATTAAGGCGTAAGGAATAATCAGACGCGGCCACGCCATTGGCTATTTGTAGCATTACCTGTAGCCTGGTGTTTGATTGGGCGAGAGCTTCTGTCTCATGAACAGCCAGGTGATTTTCGGTTTGGGGTTGCCTTCCACCTCACAAGTCAGTGTGATTGTGTTGTTGAGGAAAACAACTGCGCGCTCGCTGAAGTCGACAATCTTGGGCTCGCCTAATAAGGAGAATAAATAAGACGCATAGAAAACTCAGACGAAGGGGGCTGAAGTAAATTAGCTCCTCTATGATGAAAAAACTAAGTGTCCAGCTGTCAGTTACATTGGCTGTGTTAACTCGTGAAATGTCAAACGAAATTATTAAATGCGTTTTCATCTCGAAAAGGTTACTTAAGTGGGGTTGTAAAACTAATCATCATGCAGTATAATTTTATAAAAATTCAGTTGTTCCGGGATGCCGGCTTTCGAACGCACTTCTTTTCGGCCGCATGCAAAAACTACACTCTGTAAGAAATGACTACTTAGGTAGCATGCATTTTTCTCATTGATTTTCGATGCCTGTAGAAGTCTAATTATATTTCATGGAAAACATGCATAAAAGTGTTCATTATTTTACTAATTTGGTAGAAAATTACGTCTTATTCCAATTTTATGCTCGAAGGAAGGGTATAATGTGGTTTTAAAAAAGTTTCCAATTCCCGAATAATTTTGAGCTCTACCTGCCGTTACACTTGCATTCAGAGTATCCAAACTACAAGTCTATATTTTCCGCGTAGTCCTCTACGGTATTAAGAGGAGACCATATGGGATTCATAAAATTTAGCAGTGAATTTGAGCCATATTGTAAACTTTACAAGCCACATTAGTAAATGCGGGACGCGATGTTTTATGAACAGGCATTTCACGGTATTGAAAAACCTCACAGTTAGAATCTTTCCGAAAACCCAACTATACCCTTCCTTCGAGTATAAAATTGGAAGAATACGTAATTTTCTACCAAATGAGTAAAAGAATGAATATTTTTATGCATGATTTCCATGAACTATAACTAAATTTCTAAGGGCATCGAGAATCAATGAGAAAAGTTTATGCTATATAAGTAGTCATTTTTATAGAGCGTGGTTTTTGCATGCAGCCGAAAAGAAGTTCGTTCGAAAGCCGGCATCCCAAGGTAATGGAAGCATTATAGAATTATGCTGCATGATGATTAATTTTATAACCCTACTTAAGTAACCTTTTCGAAAAGAGAACGAATTTCAGAATTTCGGTCAACATTTCATGAGTTAACACACCTACTGTATGTTGTTTAAATCTTGTAAAGTGACGTTTAAACGCCTAGTTAAGTTTACACTAGACGAACGAAGGAAACCGTGTGATGATGCATTCATGAATAGAGCACATCGACTGACACCACGCAAAAGTCAGTTGATCAACTCGACGCATACTGCCTTCGGTCTATGCGGGGAAGACGGTCTTCCATGCGCGTTCTACCTATCTGGGCTGAGAATTCTTCCGTTTGAATTGGACTCAGTCTCAGAAGATGCAGTTATCGATAGGGAATGTGTGGAAGAATGAACGAATCGGCTCTTTTGCGTTAAAGAGTAGCCGTCGGCACGCGAACAGTCAACGATTCTGGGTGGGAACGTGGGTCAATGGATTTGTGACTTTCAATGCCCATCACAGATTCAGTGGTCCCGAATTGGTCAGTTACGATCAGAAGAATGTGTAATGAAAAGTCAATTACGGTCACCTTAATGGTTTTAAAAAAGTTTCCAGTTCCCGAATAATTTTGAACTCTACCTGCCGTTACACATGCATTCAGGGTTTCAAAACCACAAGCCATATTGTAAACTTTACAAGCCACATTATTAAATGCGGAAACACGATGTTTTATGAACGGGCATTTCAGAGTGTTAAAGAACCTCACAATTACAAACTTTTTGAAAACCCAACTATACCCTTCCTTCGAGTATACAATTGGAAGAAGACGTAATTTTCTACCAACTGAGTAGAAGAATGAATACTTTTTCGCATGTTTTTTCATGAAATACAGTTTAATTTTTAAGGGCATCGAGAACCAGTGAGAAACATTCACGCTATTTAAGTAGTCTCTTTTTCAGAGTGTGGTTTTTCATGCGGCCGAAAAGAAGTTCGTTCGAAAGCCGGCATCCCGAGGTCTATGCGGGGAAGACGGTCTTCCATGCGCGTTCTACCCATCTGGGCTGAGGGTTCTTCCGTTTTAACTGAAAAAACCGGCTCTTTTGCGTTAAAGAGCAGCCGTCAGCATGTGAACAGTCAACGATTCTGGGTGGGAACGTGAGTCAATGGATTTGTGACTTTCAATGCCCATCACAGATTCAGTGGTCCCGAATTGGTCAGTTGCGATCAGAAGAATGTGTAATGAAAAGTCGATTACGTTTACCTCAATGGTCAAATTAAAACCCCAGGTTTTCCTGACCAACACATAAAAGTAGCCATTTCAACAGTCGTTGTGATTTTTAACAAACCTCGTGTTTACGTGATTTCGCCATAAACATGACAAGCAAGAGTAAGAAACCAGAGATAGATAAAGGGACTTACGAAGGAGGATTACTTCGTAGTCAGAAGTTGTCCGACCACCTCGATTCTGCCCGACGCACGTGTAGCTAGATGGAATGGACAATACAAGACTTGGTTTCCAAGAATGATTTAAAAAGAAGAATTATCTGGATACATGATAATCTACGGCGATCATGAAGTTTGAAAATCGAACATTTAGCCCATTTTCGAAGCATGTGCTTAAATCAACCCTGGTGCATTTTAGGCCACATGTCATGAGAATAAGTATTTCTGTTCTAATGTGCAGAACGCATTTTTAACAATTACACGAACTCAAATATGAATAAAACTCGCTTGAGTAGTTGGGGATAGTAATTCTGTTCGTTGGCGGATATGCCCGTGCATATTCCATACCATCATCACGCCGGGGTCACCGAAGGACAAAATTAGCATCCCCAGGTCATTGACGCCAGTCAAATGAGACGGGACAGATGAGACACCAAGAGAAGGCCTGCGGAAGATTTTTACTCAAGGTTGTGTATTCGTCTGTGGGTATTTTTAGTAGAATAGAGCAAAACGCTTAACACCACCGAAAGTCATCTGGAGAACTCTGAGACACGCATTTATGGGCCAAGACTTTCGCGGCTGCGCCCTGCAACCATAGGAAGTCGACAAACCTCGGGCCAGGATTTCCATAATCACGTTGGCAGTATCATAAACTAACTCTCCACTTGTACATAGAAGACCGGTGTTATAAATGTACACACCTATACATGCTAAACTGTTAAAAACTGTTATAGCCCATATAGAGATCGCAGAACCCATAGGGGTCTTTTTAATTCCAGATAAAGAACTATTGTTTCTGAATTTTTTCTTTTGCACAAGCATTCGTGTCACACATACTTTCCTTGAAGATCCTCTTGCATGCTGTTAATAGTGAGATATGACGTGATTCTGTCGCTGGAAAGACGAGTTGATATTCCAAGATCGGTCAGTTTTCCCTCCAACGGACGTCCATTCCACGTCCAGGAAATTGTTGGCTCCGGGAAGCCGGTCATTCCGCAGCTGATGTCCACTCTGTCGCCAGGACGTACCAGAAGTCGCCGCTGTGCGTGTGTGCTTGTGAACGTTGGAGGAACTGCGGATGTTTAAACATGCGGACTTTGTTATTTACTACTATTGTGTACTTCAGCTGGTATAACAGTCAGAATTCAAAATCGTTTATAAATTATGACGTATGTCTCAATAAGAAGCATTAATAAGCGTACAGATAGGACGTTCTCACGAATGGAAGAGAATATGAGCATCCCAGGTTCTTGTTTAAAAGAAGACGAAGACAAGATCGATGGGCTGGGAGATTTATTGGCCTTAATTTTCGAACTCGAACTGAAATTCATCATCAGAGACTGCTGGAGCGCAGCAACCTGTGAACATTTATATCCCATGCCACAATTGTCCTTGCCACTACTCAGGCCAAACAGGACGACGTCTCAGCTCACGAATACTTGAGCACAGACGGGCTGTTCGGAGAGGCGGCCCACTATCTCAAGTCGCCACTCACACGCTCGAGGAAGGCCAGGAGTTGGACTTCGCCAACACGCGGATACTGGCGCGAGCCGGCAACAAGACGGGGCGAGAAGTGTCGGAGGCTGGGTGTCGGACATCAACTCTATCAATAGACACCTTGATTTTCCTGCGTGTTATCACGCACTCCGCCCACGCAACCAGGTGGCGCAGCTCAAATCGCCGCGAAGTACAAACGGCGTCACCGCGCCGGGGGACCATTGTGGACCAGGCAGCACGAACCAGACCTAACCACGGACGTAGTTCCCTCCCCCCATCACAGCACAACGATATAAATGTTCACACGTTGCTGCACTCTAGCAGTCCCCGATGATGAACTCCAGTTCAAGCTCGAAAGCTAAGGCCAATAAATCTACCGTCCTAGCGATCGTGAATTTAAACTGGATAGAACTTACCCAGGACTGTGACCTGGTAGAATCTTGAGTCGCTTCCAGCCTCATTTTCAGCACGACACTCGTAGGACCCGGTATCTTCTTCGCTTTCGCCTCGAATTTCCTGCATGGAACAGAGCTCAGTATGATGACAGCTCTAGGCTTTTAAAACTTCGCTATTTAACGGTCAGACATGATTCTGGGAAAGCTGAATTGTTTGGGTAACTTACAAGGCTATTCCCACCTCCCAGGATGGTAATGCGACCAGGGACAGGGACCAGAGGTTTTCCATTTTTGAACCAACGAAGCTCCGGTTGGGGGAAGCCCTGGCTGACCAGGCAGGTGAGGACTGTAACCTCGTTCTGGGCGATTTCTATGTCACTCAGGCCATCCTTCGGAATGAAGGGCGGTGCTTTGTAGCGGAAACAATGAAGCGGATAAAAGTTAAACATGAATATAAAAATCTCCATCAGTTTTATGGTCATTAGAAGAGGCAGAAAGACTTCCTATGAAGGATAAAAGCTGGATGAGATGCATGACCCCCTAACTACAGAAATATCTAATCAGCCGGCATTGTCATCGTTTCATGATTAGCTGTCAAGCAGGAGATTCCGGTAAGACTGATCAGATCCTGGCGGAAGAGTTGTTAAATCTACCAAGTCCAAAAGGCCGTAAATGGTCTGATGATCCTTTTTTCTGACCTCCGTCATCGTCATGATTGCGCATTCTTGTAAGACTTCTGAATGATGGTGCGCCTCGGAAGGGGAATTTCAACAGAGAGACATATCGTTTATTGTGCATCCCCTAAAATTACGCGTAGGGAAATCAGAAATCAATGGACGAAAGTTCTTTTTCGGTAAGAGAGTGGTTGCAGTGTGGTATGCCCTGCCTACCGATGTCATAATCTCCTCCTGTGTGAATTTCTTCAAGTGTAGACTTGACGAGCATCAAGCTTCCCTATTACCATCCTCACATCCACTCACATAACCTGGCACAACTTACACATATTTATACTACTTGTAATTAGTAAGTAACCGTTAATGAGTACTCTTGTTCGGCCAGCTGCCAGCTGTCCGCGAGTATGTACAAAATCCCTTTTTCACCTTCCCACTTATTAATGTTTTTCTTCGACGACTTGTAACCAATAGACAGTTCAAAGGCGCTTGCCTATATTTCCCTTGATAAACTGATACTGATACTCTTCCAATACGGACGCCAGAATGACTTAAACACCATACTGTCCACGTGAATTTGTGGACAAATACTGTGGTTGGATAAATTTGCCATGAATTGGTCCTCGTGCAACCATCTGTCGGCTAACACTCAAAGTCGGAAGACAATTAATCTCGTGTCTGCAAGCAATTCTTCAGTCCGTAAACACATGAGCAGCAGGGATTTTATCAACCTCATCCACAGTTGGTCGGAATATTAAGAAATCAGGCAGTTCCTAGGACTGTGTTAATCAAATGTCATAAAGAAGTGCTTGACGTTCAACCACCTCAGAAACACTAGCAGATTTACAACGTACTCTTCACGACGACCTGGAAGTCCTTGGTTTCCACAGCGTGCGGATTGATGGCGGAGCATGTGAAGATGCCGCTGGTTTCCTCACTGACGGCGTACACAGTCAGAGTCTGGCCGTCGTTTGAAATGACCACGGACGGATCGAGACTGCCAGAACCACTGCCGGCACCACCCTGCATGCCACCGGCCTTGACGTTCAAGGGACGACCATCCTTGCGCCATTCAACCTTCGGTTTGGGGTCTCCCTCTACCATGCAGCGCAGTTCTAGTACCTTCCCGCGGGTTATCTCAACAAGGCCCTCCTGCGTGGAGTCCGTGAAGGCCGGTGGTGCTGAAAGGGGAAGATCACACAAGTGCATGCACAGAGCTCAGAAAACCAACGGACATCGCCAAATAAGTGTTCCAAACGTGACTGAATTTCACGAGTTGCGGCCTTCCGCGTGTTGACGTTGATCTTTGTTTTATTTGCTACTAACTGTTTATTAGTAAGCAGCATGTACCCGTCGCTATCATTTGCTTTCAAACGATCAACCACGTGTTGGTGTCATTTATGTCACTGCTCGTCTAACTACCTGGAATGTATGTCCACCTTTTAATTTATCGTGCTCTACCCATCTTACTGTTTAAGAACTATAGAATCATGAAGAATATCCGAGTTATTCCGACTGTTTCTGACATAGCCTTTGACCTCGGGCGCGTCTGTTCTGGTTAATAAACTATCACTGCATCGAGAAAATCTAAAGAATATTAAGAAGATTAATAAGCATGGATGGTAGAAATTGTAGGCAAGTTGTTTTTCTGAAATGCGTTATTTGAAAAAAAACTCTTCGTTGGAGCACGTTTTTATTCTAAGGTTTTTATGTCAGTTACCAAAGTAAATCCACATTTCTGGAATTATTTGACATGTTTCGAGTGACAAGGTATATCGTTATTACAAAACTAGAAGCGATGCCAAAGTAATTTCGGTCGGTTTGGAAACCATACGAAAGAGGCAAGATGTCCGTCTTGCTTTAAAAGTATAAGACTCATTTAGTTTTTCGCCTAGCGGAGTATTTAATAAATTAACCAATTTTTAACCGTACTTCCTTTTGTGCATGAAGACTTCTTGATTACTAAGTTGTCTTCAGTAACGGTCGATGCCCCCTCCACCCCAAGAAAACATCTGAGTACAGCTGTTCTGACTTTCAGAGTATGCTTTCTCTTATATCAAGGCTTCCAGTCTAGTAATCGGAAATCTATTCTCTTTCCTTGTAACTGCGAAGTGTTTCAAGTTTTCATTTTGTCTCGTCACGTCTTTTTGCTTTAAAGCGACGATCTGACACCCCCTAACGTCTATCTATATGACAAGTAGGCTGCAGGTCTAATCGTCAGACGCCCAGTTACAAATAAAATTGATTTCCAAATGCTTAAGAAAGGCTTGGATAAAGCCTCCGCGTAATCGTCAGAGCCAGAAGTCAGTCCAATGCGACTTTCCTCTGCGACCATCTCTCATTGCCGGATCTGTTAACATTCTTATGGACGAGGTCACTTCTTTCCGGTATCTGATGGTTGCCCTGTCTTCCAATATTAATCTGGCTATTTATAGGCACCGGAAAACGCTCTGAAGGCGAAAAATATACTCGCTTATTTTCCTTCATCAGACGGTGAAAAAAAACAATTTCATGCACTGGCTCATTTGCTCCTTTTAATTTTTTCGGTGTTAACAGCTAGATAATATTTATTTTGGGATAGTACCAACAAGGACAAGGGAGACTGAAATGGCCCTTTCTGGATTATTAGCCGTCATCAGCCGGCCATACACAACCCCGAGTGTGGACCACTTGAGATCCCAACCCGGATCTTTGGTACTATTTCATTTACATCTACTAATATTCGCTGTGCGACTGCCTGCGAGGGTTCTAGCATGAGTCCCAAAGGCACAACGGAATTAGCATGCTCCGTAACCTGATCGGTGAGCGCCCACTGTCATAATTGATATTCCCGATCACAATCGACAGGACAACGGACCCGTGGCTCAGTGGTAGAGCGTCAAACTCCATGACCAAAGATCGCGGGTTCGAACCTCAAGGGATCCACACCCGGGGTTGTGTATGACTGGCTGATGAGGGCTAATAAGCCAGAAATGGCTATCCCGGTCTCCCTTGTCTTTGTCGGTACCACCTGATATACATTTACTACTAGTCGCTGTGCGACTGCCTGCGAGGGTTCTCGTATGAGCCCAAAGGCACAGCAGAACATGACCCTACCGTAACCAGATCGGTGACCGCCCATCTGTCACAATATTTATTCTGTTCAGGTATATGTCACACTGGTAATGCCGGCATGCTGCCAGCTGGAATCGAGAGAATGAGATCAAACACTGTAGTAATATCGGTTTATGCTTATATTTTCCCCGGTTGTTTTTTATGTCGTAATCTGGCCATGTTAATCGAAGTACGCTTTTTGTTGAACATTCGGGAATTAGGATTTTAAAATAAAACTTATTACCACCCCTCTCTCCTTCTGAAGTAGATAAAAACTCTTGAAAAACTAACAGACTATATGATAAATAGGAAAATGCTGTGAAGGTGAAAAATGCCCTCACATATTTTCCGTCAGTAGGCAGTGAAGAAAACTAATTCTACGCGTTGGCCTATTTTTTCCTCTGCATTTGTTTGACGTCAACAGCCAGGGCACATTTATTCTGTTCATTTTAATATAGCATAGTATATTTTAGGTTAGTAGGCAATGCCCTTGATGGTCCCATTAAAACGGTGCGCACAATATAAATATTAAATGCATATCGTACTAACATTTCGCCAGTAACATATTAGTTTACGGAAAACGTTTTTGTAGTCCTGGACTGTGAATTCACGGCACTGACGTGGTGCCGGTATGAATTATGCACGGGGTTTGAACCCGGGGGCACCAGTAGGCCACTGGACATTTAAGTCTAAAGTTACGTCCAGGTGAAGATCAGGAGGGATACAAAGTAATTTCAGAGTGTAATTCACCGATCTTTTCCTTATCGTAGGACAGAAATAGGAAAAAGGTAGGTTTCCAATCAAAGGCCACATGCTGCATCAAAGTAATTAATAAGGCAGGAGATTGTTTGAAAGCTTCAAACAAGAGGCGAAATATGCAATTTCAGGAAAACCGAGCAGGCCCAATGGAAAGGGCAGAAAGTGAAGGAAAAGGTAGCACGTAATCTTACTTTGAACGTCAAGCTCGATGTCGATCTTCGAGCGTCCGACGACATTCCTTGCCACACACGTATAAACGCCCTCGTCTTCCATCTTTAAAGGTTTGAAATAGCAAAAAAGACACAAGTAAACTCCATCATATGGATCTCGTTATCGATTAGCGTGTTTTTCTGGTCATTGAGAATGCGGAGTGTCCTCAGCGTACTGAAACAGCCCGGTTTCAGTGAAACGACTGTTTTGCGTGCGCTGGCGAACAAGGATGGAAAAAGGAAACCCTCTCACAAGGCCAGCCAACAGGTAGCCTTGTTTGACAGGGAAAGTGGGAAGTCAATTGTCTGAGCTAAATGAATTGTCGCCAGCCAGGTGAAATCGACAGGAATACCGCTCAACGCTGACAAGAGCAAACAAGTCAACCAATATCTTATTACCGGAATCTGGAATGGCCACTTCTGGCTTATTAGTCGTCGTCAGCCAGCCACACCCAACCCCGAAGTGTGGAACACCTGGGACTCGAACTTGCGACCTGTTACTTAGAAGTCCAGGCCTCTAACCACTGGGCCACGAGCCAGTTGCCCTGTCGGTTTCGATAGGGAATATACAATGGTTAGAGGCGTGAACTTCTGACTAACAGGTCACGAACTCGAGCCTCGAGTGTTCCACACTTTGGGGTTGGGTATGACTGGCTGACGACGGCTAATAAGCCAGAAATGACCATTCCAGTCTCCCTTATTTTGTTCCGTAATAACATACTGCCTATATGTCATGCGCCGCTGTGCAGCTGCTGGTTGGGCTCGAGAGAGAGCCCGTAAGGCACAACGGAACGAGTGAGTTTCGTGAGAACGATCGGTGAGTGCCCCCTACCAAAGTGTACCAATGTACATCCAAGGCTCTGAGCGCTGCAGCCGGCCATCTATGCGTGAACTGCAAGAGTATCATCAAGACTACGCAGAAAACTACTGTAAAAATCGACCAATCAATCCGTGTATTGCCATCGCATATTTCAGATCAAAATTAGCTTGCATGGACATGTCAGGAGTACCAGTGCATAACGCAAGACCCAGAACCTACCATCGAAAACTGTGAACAGACTGCCGTTTCGGAGGGTGGTTAGGGCTCATGGGTACGGCTAGTGTTGGCCAAAGACATCTCACCGGTTCTAGTTTTACGGACAAAACATAAGCTCGAGTGCTTGGATGTTCTTACAAGATAGCTCCATCACTGAATGAATTTCGGCTCAAACGGAACGGGCCTGTGTACGTAAAACTATCCTCAGCCGACACTCATGTCTATCTCCGGTTGTCCTGACACTGTCTCGACATCGGAGTCAGGTGGGTGGGGAGGGAGAGAGTGAAGTAGATGCAGTACAAGTCCGCTAGAGAATCAACTAATTTGTGTGCAGGTCCACGGCGCTACACTTACTCCGCGGGGCATGCGAAAGACATGGTCCAAATTTCATCCAACAGGTGTTGGCGAGATTCAACATATTATGACCTTCTGAACTGATTTAGGAAAAGTACAGAAACTAACACGATCGTGGTAATGTAAACAGATAAGATTAGGCATAGTTTTATGCTGTTTATTCCAAAGAACCATTTCCCGTCGATTGAAATCCTTAATTTTAGTCAGAAACGGAAAATACTGCTACTCCTCTAGATAATGCGGTTGCTGTTACACATTGGCTTTCCATTGTGACATTTATAGTCACGAGACCAACCTGACAAAACCCACTTTTAAATAATTTGGTCGAACCAAATAATATTCCGCTAAAAATGTTAGAATACATTCTCGTTTCCCGTTCTGTAGGCAGTTTCGTCTTCCTGAAATCTAATAACTGAAACATAACAATATCTCAACCGTAAATCTGATAATTTAAAGACTTTTTAATGATTTCACCCACATTTATGAATACTTTGTTATTACCACATTTACCGCAATGGTAGTACAATCTCCAAAGATAAAAAACTCAAATTTTTAATCTGCTTAGCTAAACCGTCAGATGTCATACTTATTACGCCGTTAGTAGCCACTCAAGAGAAGCGGAAAGTTCAAAAATGTACAGTCAACGGTTAACAGTACGTTTTCGTTTCTGGAAAAAGATAGAAAAAACAGAACGGTGACTCACCCTGACATTTCTGATGATCAGATTGTTGTCGACAACGCTGTATCTTGGCGAACTGAGATCGAGTTCCTGACTGTCCTTCAGCCAGATCACCGTGGCAGGTGGCTTTGCATCCAGAACGTAGCAGGTTAGCACCTTTTCGGCGCTGCCCTCGAGGATAACCTGGCGTGGGTCGGTGAAGGAGATGGTCGGCGCCTCTGTCAAGCATCATGAAGATAGAACTGAATTCTCGGCTTTTAATTCATCCAATTACTTGCTACTTTGGAAAATACGTAGTACTTTTTTCTTATTAAAAGTTTGCGAACTGATTGGAAAAGAAAGCGGTTGGCATATACTAGCAGCTGCCTAAGCATTCTTTCAGACCTCGTGGTTGTCGATGAGTGTTCAACCTATGCCAACGCTAGCAATATTACCTTTCCGACTTCAATATGTTACCAGTGAGCATTGTTCAGTGTAGAGGTCATCCATGATCATTTACCGGCATTGTCTTTTACTCGTTTTGAGAGCCTCGACTCGCCTCCGTGCAGTTTTCAGCCCCGTCAGAACTGGTAAGCCAGGGCTCGATCCTTACAGGTCTGTTCATTTCATTACCCTTAATTGGCCTTTTTGGACTCCATGGAAATACGAAATTGGTGAGCTTAGGAATGGCATGGGTGACCACTGTAGATCAAGTTTTTGACATAACGCCTAACGCGGTACATACCCAGCCTATTCGAATCCCCCACTGCTTACAGGACCCTGAATTTTATCTGTGAGAACAAGTCAGCCCTCCGTATTTTTAATGAGAGAGAGACGAGGTGTAACTGTCGTAGGTGAAAATATACGTCGAAACTTGAGAAAAGTTGATTAAAAAGGTTTCATACGTTTTCAAGTGAAAAGTACTCGCCGATGAGGGTAGCGAAATCATATAAACATAGAGTTATATGATTGTTTACGACTGCGCATCCTTTTGGGCATCTGGGCCAGTTAAATTCACAAAAAGCACCATTAAATTATTGCCCATTTACTCGGTTTGTTTTTTTATAGTTGTGAGGAGTTAACCATATTCTAGAGAAATAAAAAACAAAGAGTTGTCTTTTATGGTCAGATCATAGGAAATAACCTCCTTCTAGAACTAATCACTTTTCGACTGCAAGACTTTTTAAGATACCTGCGTGTTGATCTTGCTCGTAAATCCCGTTCTGTTAAATGATTTTGTTTATTGGAACATTTTTGAGAAGTGAAATTTCCTTTCTAGACATTCGCAACTTACATGAATTTTTCACAAGAAAAGTGGGTAGTATATAATCTGGAATGCGGGAGTGCGAGTTAATATTCATATGACAGAAATGATCTGCACATTAATTTACTCTGCTTAAAAGTCATTTAATTATCTATAGACCGCGCATAAGAGGGGGGCTTATTGCGCGTTGTTTTTTGAGAAATGAGATTGCTATTAAAGGCACCAGAAGCGTGAACAATTACTGTCTTTGTTGAGCAGTCATTATTTCCAAGTTCCGTTCACTCAGATGCTTCAAAGGATGCACATTCAGAAGCAAGAAAGCAATGGTACATGAAGTGACTTAGGGTTACTTTCCCAGCCAATTCCATTTTGAAGGTTATCGACCGGTCACTGACAAGGGCTAATGAATTTTATGGTTTAATCAGTGGACGTCAACAATGAAGTTGTCATAGAATACAAACCGGTAGAATGAGGCGTAGCAATGTTATTCAAATAGTCGGCTAGATCGCAGTTGGTAGCCCGGAATAGGAAGCGGACGGCGACCTTAACCCTAATCCTAATTTCAACCCTAACCCTAACCTCAACCGTTACTGTTAACCGCTAACCCTAACCCTAGCCGAAGTCGTAAACGTAACCGTGGTCCTTAGACATGGCCGTAACTGAGAAGCCTAATCGTAATACTGAAACATATTCGTACGCTCAAACCCTAACCATAACCCGGAAACCTAAGCCTTAATGCATAACCGTAAGCGGAAAATCGGAAACCATTAACCGGTACCCTACTCCTAACCTCAAACGTACAACGGAAGCCAAATGTGTCACATGTGATTATGGAGCCCCACAAAATAACCCCCGTAAACAAATCCCCCAGTCACCTGTAATACGGGTCCGGGCTATCAACTGCGATCTAGCCGAATAGACGAACCAAAGGTTTCCATGATTCGAAGCCGGCTGAAAATATTTTAAAAGGATTAGAAACGGTAACTTTTGGACCCCAGCAGAGAATACCAATGAACTTTTTGACTCGACTATATTAAGGTCACTTGAGTAGTTCAGCGTTTCAGTAGTAGACCCAAAACAATTCCACTTTGATAACTTACTTATAACACCTACAACGCTACGAAACTCGGGAAACAAAAAGATATATTGAAATAACCGGACAATCACAGAACTCTTTGTGAGATATGAAATCTTTTGGGCCTATCTAAAAGTAAAGATAAACATCTTAGTTGAGCATTAATGAAACCGTGTGTGTAACTCGCCATTTTAACAGTAGTGCTGAATACGTATTTACTAGAATATCGAATTTGCTGCAATCTTACTAAAAATGTGCATCTACGTTGGAAATGCGGTTGGTGGCATTAAAATTTACCCAGTTTTTGATTATTAAGTGTCTAAAGCACGGCAAAATAAATGGGGCTGTTTAATGGCGATTGCCTCCCGTGGTCTAGTTTTCTGCTGAACCAGACAACGGATCCTTAACCTGGTGGAGGAGAGCACTTACTTATACCGCCAAGTTCCACCGTAACGTGATGCTGATCTCTGCCGTAGGTATTTGAGGCCTCACAAATAAATGTTGTACCATCCTCCATGTCGACATCTAAATTAGAGAAAAGGATAATCATTTGCCAAAATTCAATTATATCAGATTAAGAAATGATGTCGGGCGGGGCAGGGGGGAGTTGTAGAGACACATATATTTTTAATCTTGTGAGTATGCAACGATCAAGACCCCTTAAATTTGAATGTTTTGGCATATGAAAGTTAGAGATTATTGATAGCATGTATCAAGCTACCGAAATCAAATTAGGGAGCATTTGTCAATTTTAGTTTAAGAGGAGAGTTCCTATTTTCATGTTTCATCTGAATTACTTCTGCAACTAACGCTTTGCTTGGGGAAGATGGTTTAAGTATTCAAAACAACATTTTTTAAACATTATCCGAGGCTTACTTCGAATGTGTAGGGAATTGTCCGCTTCCAGAGTGTATCGATCACCATAGCTCACGGGCACCTGGGTGGATCCCACCAGTTTATACCACTTTATTTGTGGTACGGGATGGCCTTCAACGTAGCAAGGGACGATTAGATCCGCCTCATATTCAGCCAGAACCCTGTCGTGCATCGAGCCTGTATCCATTTTTGGTTTGTCTACAATGAATCGGAGATGGAATGGGACGGAGCATGTGAGAACGGGTAATTATCCTTCGAGTAGAGAGGAGCACAGCTTATTCTAGAGTAAACTCACAGCCAACGTCCAACGAAATTGAGGAACGCGTGGTCCCAGCGACATTCTCAGCCACACAAGTCCACTTGCCAGACATATCCCTCTTTACCTGCATGATCATAAGTTCACCTGTCGTCTCATTAACACGAATGTTGGCGCTCTGGCCGACCTAAAATAATTGCAAAATAGTTAACATTTCGACTAATCTGCCAACTTAGCATCATAATCGGGGCCTTACGAAAACAGGGAAGAAGCCGAGCCGGTGATTTCTGCTCGGCAGGGCAGCAGCACTAAAACTACCGCATATTCACGTTTAAAAGTCACAGAAATGAAATGAAACTAAAATGCCTACTTATTTATGGAAGGTAGCAAAGTCACTATGAATACAAGTCAACGAACCGGACTGCCGTTGAATTCCCACTTGATGATGGGCTGGGGTTGGCCTGTTGCGAGGCAGCGCAACGTCTGTGACTCGCCTTCTTGTGGCAGCTCACGCTGGGATTCGAGTCGAATGATTTCGGGTCTGGCCACGAATTTGGCGTTCATTATTGCCTTCTCCTCACCGGCAGAATTGGCAGCGTGGCACGAATAACGACCGGCATCGGAGGCTTCAGTCGGCGAAATTATTAAGCGCGATTCCTTTAAATAAAGACGGCATTCGAAAGATAACAAAATCACAAAATATCAGTTTATTTCATGAAAAGTTATATCATATTTATGAGTAGGATTGGAACCATTTGATTTCTATTGCACTTCCTAAAATGTATATTTTCGGAAGCCGTCATAAAGAACGAACTAAGCAGTCCAAAGTACAGAATCAAAGCTAATTGGCGCTGATTGTTTTGAAAGAGCATTTCGCTTGTATAATTCCATTCAGAGGAGTAAGCACGAAACAATTTTACTGCAGGGAGATCTGATAGTACGAATTTTGTTTTTTTTTCATTTTCAAAACTATCATTTGCACTAAACTGATGTTAACAGATGTAAGAAGAGCTCAGCCTTCCAGTTTTATTAGTCATCCAGATGTCGTCACTTGGACCAACTTTGACCTTCATCCTCAGGTGCCTACTCGCCAAACCAACACAGTGATTGGTGCATCGTTTTGGCATATGCCAACGATTTTTTGCTTGATCTATATTTTGTAGACAGAACATTGTAATGAAGGTCGGAGGGACCGCATTAACAGCAAAGAGCGTTTTTAAGTTGACTCCCTGAGGACTTTGCAACTAAAGTTCGTATGTTTAATTGGATGAGCTCAAGGTATGTGAACCTAGCTCCTACGAGACCGTGGAAACACTCAGCAGACCAGTGAGGGAACAAATTGTTCGCACAACGAAATGCAAGAATTCTAGTCACACTTACCATATAATCATCCAGAATGGTTATTCTCGGTGCTTCGACGCCCGGTTGAAGCGCCTCTCTGCTAGTCTCAGGAATAGGCACATCGTTGAAACTCCAAGTAATCTTTGGTGGAGGATGACCTTCAGCGCGACATGAAAGGACGATGCGTCCGCCCTCCTTGAACTCGACATCAGTGCTCTCCGCAACGACAGTGGGGCGAACTGAAAGTAAAAGAACAGAAAGCCTCGAATATAATCTATACTGCTGTTTCTTAATTTCCTCAGAAATTATCTACGAACTTGGAGTAGATCAGTTTATTCAAGGACTATAGACTCAGACCGACGATTTTATGTATAAATGAATATTTGGTCCGAAGTCCATCAGCCACGGCCGGTAACCGCGTAATATTCATTAACTGCCGACAGGCTGCTTGAAGTATACTTTAGGGTAAGGCGACACCATACTAATAGCGCAGGTAGTTGCCCAAAGCCCATACACGCGTGTTTCGCCGATATTCTGCAGTTGCATGGCGCAGCTGTGAGGGGTTCAGGTCGTCAGTGGGTTCCCCAGCGTTCCCCGTCTCTTTTCTGATAGATACGCCAATTTAGAAATTGCTGCTTTTTAATTTCCTTAGAAATGAACTACGAACTCGAAGTAGCTCAGTATATTTAAGATCTATGGGCTCAAACCCCAGTTTTTTATGCATGAATATTTGGGCCGAAGTCTATCAGCCACAGCGAGTAACCGCGTAATATTCATTAACTGCCAACAGGCAGTTAGTAGTATATTTTAGCTTTAGAATATACCATACACGCAACGCAGGTATTATTTAAAAGCCCATGAACGAGTGTTTTGCCGATATTCTGCCGCTGCATGGCACAGCTGCAGCTGTGCTGTTATTCTAATATCACCTTACCATAAAGTATAGTATTAACTGCCTGTCGGCAGCTAATGAATATTACGCGGTTACCCGCTGTGACTGATGGAATTTGGCCCAAATATGCACGCATAGAAATTTTGGTCTGCGCCTATAGATCCTAGTATAAACTGGTCTACTCCAAGTTGGCAGTTAACGTTTGAGAAAATTAAAAAGCAACAATTTATACACTGGAGTGTCTACCAAAAAACACACAGAGAATGCTGGGGTACCCACTGACGAGCCGAATCCCTGGCAGCTGTGCCTTGCAGCGGCAGAACATCGGCGAAACACGCGTGTCTGGACTTTTAGCTAGTATCCGTGCTGCTAGTATGATATCTTATAGTTCCAAAGCAATCTTTAATGACGGAGGCATTAGGGTCTAAGCATGCAAAATCTGTTTAATGTGTTATTCCAGACCACGACGTGTCAAAATCCTCCCTCAAGAGGGCTGGACTAAGTTGGTGCGCTGCATGGGCGTGGTCGCTATGATTCCTGCCAGGTAGGAATAAACATCTTCACATTCAAACACCAAGTTTTTAAATGTACTTTTTGGCCTCATTGTGCACGTGGTCAAAAACTGCTAAACACATCTAGGCGGAGCTAATCGGACTGGACTTGTTTAGGAGTCAATCGCGAACGGCCCTTGTCGTGTCTAATTGTGTTCCTGGCTTTGCTACTTCTTACAATTTATGTTCTCGGAATCTGCTCGGTGAAGTTAAATAAAGTTCGTTGCCTAGAAACGGAATAGAGGGGTTCCTGCCTACTCAGCTCATCCTCTTCTTGACCACGTAGGTTGACGGGGAGTTTGAAAAAAATTAGGTAGATGACAAAAATCACTAAACACTGAAACAAACTGATGGGTGAGCTGTCGAACAGAAAAAAACATTACGGCGAAGTTGTGAAATTTAAAGGGAGAGAACAGAATCCCATATGCATGTCCCATGTGACATGCCGGACTTTGATAAAAAAAAAACTGTTCATCGGTTAACAATCTCAGGAACTTTGCTTTGCAAAAATGCAATTGGTGGACGCGCACATTGTAAGCGTTCATGGCACTGTGGACTGATGTATGCAGCCAAGACGGAAACGATCACTTAAATCTAATTTCTCTTCCAACAAACATTGCCTGCTACTACTACTACTACTACTACTAAAAGTACTTAAGTAATACCGATACCAGTGGTGCTGTTGTTATTCCCACTAATAGTACTAGTGATACCGTCAGCCCACGCACAAGTCACCGTCTCAGTTTTCGCTCTGCTGTGGAGCACACGGTGGACATCGGCGAAATCGACGTTCTAACTGTCAGCACTGATACCATTACGAATACTAGCACCGCTATAACAATACTAATATTCCAACCTGTACTAATAGCACTACCATTGCAAATATCAGCGCCATTACCATTAATAATGCTTTAACTACTGATGTTGTTACTAGTAATTTTATTTCTATCATCCAAAACCCTATTACTGATAATAGGATCATCAAGAACACTACCCTTGCCTCGGTAAATTTCCAAGACATACAATATTTCTATAATCAATGCCGCCAGTATTAACAATACTTAAAATACTACGATTACAATTACCGTTGTCTCTACTACCCTCACAACTTCTTTCGCTGCAACTTATACAACACACCTATCGTTCTTGTTACTAGTAGCATACAAACAGTAACAATATTAAAACTAGAACCATTACTACTGCCACGGTCATTGCTACTACCAACTGATTCACCTGGTTCTTTAAAGGTGGCTGGCAATCAGTAATGATCTGGTATCAGAAATTTTTCGGATATCTTTATCGGGGGTTAAAGAAAGTTCACAGGGGATGATTAAATATATATTAAAACAGAAAGGATTGCATGCGCCGGGTTGCGAAATTCGCATCGACCACATGTGATGGCCTGACATAAAAACCAATCCACCGTCTAGGCACAACTTTCTAAGTTTTGCTGTGAACATGATTAGGAATTGATTAATCGTGGGTTTAATTCCTCAAATCAATTAACAGAAAATCATGCCTTTCTGAAATCTAGCATCGGAATGGTCATATCTGGCTTGTTCTCCGTCCGAGGTACCCAACACTAGACCAGGCGTTAGGGCTAGAACCTGAGTCAGTTGGACATCGGGCAACTTTGGGGGAAATGCTCTACCGACCGAGCCATATACCTACATTCTGCCGGTGGGGATAGGGAATATTCGAAGCCGAATGCGCTAGTCTACCCTGACTGCGCGACGTGAATGGACATTTCGAGTCCACGTTAGAAATCCGCACATGGAGCTGCTTCTCAGATGAGCCAGTGCACTTTTGCATTCGGGCGAATTAACTTACCAATTACTTTAATACTACTCGAATTGGCATAGTGAATATCTCAATATTACCAAATATATAGGCCGCTTTTGCCAGGCACCGGAGAATATCAAAACTAAGCGTCAAGCGGGCAAACTTTCCAAAAAGATGAGAGTTATTTCAAAACGTGCCTTTTTCACGGACCAGTTTAACTCGAAAAGAATTCCGGAAAATGCTTCCTTATGATCATTTATTTAAAAATACCCTACACCCAGTATTCGGAGTCATTTTATTTGGCATGTGCTTAACTTGTCCATAGGGCAGTATTTTCCATTTTCATGCATAATTAGGACGTCAGCAAGACCTTTCCAGAGTTTCGGTGCTCTACGCGTGGCTATTAAAATTTAATCGATGATAAAATGGAGGTATCCCTGAGGCCTTAATTCCTGTCGACTTTCAGTTGCTAAACGTACCATGGATGATGACGAAACCATCGGCTGAACTGACGCCTCCCTTGTGTTCTGCCTCACAAATGTACTTGCCAACGTCGACGTCTTGGGCCTCCCTGAAAAAAGGAGATATTATTGATCACAGAGTCAAGGGACACAGAATTTAGATCGATCAACTGACTAACGGGTATCCTATCTAATCCGATAAAATCGTCGCTTGAAATACTCTTTTCAATTGCGAGCCATAATTTCCACTTCTAAAAGCATTGGTTCTTCGAATTTCTGCTAGAGGGGACCGATTTTGAGAAAAATAGAATAAATACCTAATCCGAAACAAAATAGATTTTACACCTACAACCAAACGTTCCGCCAGTAAGATAGCGTCAAATTAAGAGAGAACAAAATGGAAAATTCAAGCAAATAATAACAGTCGGAAGACCAGATGGCGAGCATACGCGTGCTTTTGATAAATTCTCATCGGGCCAGCACATTTATAGTGGAACGAGGTACGAAGTAAAACGTGCGAGCGAAAGGTTCGTTTTTCATACATGCGAGGTGTGTGAATAGGGGACGAAGTTTAGTCCCGCCTGATCAAATGACTAAAGTCAAGCACGAATAGTAGTCCGGGAAACAAGGGATTATGTGGTAGTTTGTACAGTCAACCAAGAGCTTTCCACTTTTGTTAACTGGAGGATGGGTGCGTTTCGCCTTCCACCTACTAAGGTTATAAGTAAAGGGCTACTGATAAAACATAAGTAGCCAGGCAGCCTCCATAAAGGCATCGCGCGTTCGCTGGGTAATATCTGAGAGGAAGTTATTGAAAAAAAAGCATTAGGAGCTGCAACAACAGTGAGCGTGAAGGTGCCCAGGTGACCGAAACACATCAGCATATCACTAAAAATTCAACCAAACACGAGCCTTGGCCGATGCCCTTGCTGCCAGGGCCAGCGTAATCACTTGCAACTCACACTATAGTTAGTGTGCTGGTAAAGGTTCGCCCGGCTGGAGTTGGCTCCCCAGGCGAGGTACGAATCTGGTGTCGACGGCCATCCTTGACCTTGAAACGCACATCATGCCCACGGTACCAGTTGATGGCCACTTCGCTCGCATGTGTGAAGACACTGCAGGTGAGTCGGGCCATACCCCCCGGTTCCACACTGGCGTTGCGTGGGATGAAGACAGTTGGCGGTGGCGCTGTTTGCGAGGCGGGCAGGAAGGGGAAAGTTTTATAGCAAAACGGTCCGGTAAAATATTATTGTTAAAGTCCAAGACTCCGTAGGGTATTATTAAACGATTGTTAAAATGCAAAAATCATCTCATTTAAAAAAATTCAGACTAAAAGTCAGGAATTAACCCCACAGCACATTACCGCAGTGGACAAAACCGCTATCAGCATCCACAGGTCTGCTAAGCTGGAGGAGGTAAACAGAAGGACCCCGTCAACTAGCCAATGAACTGTACAACATGTGGCCTAACTCATGAAACGCGATGACGGGAGTCTGGATGATTATTTGGTAAGGATCGGGTGAAGGGCCCCAAAGCCTCTGTGGCATACAAAAAATACCTACTATACTTATTTAAGTGGGTTTTTAGTCCGACACGATTATTTCGGTTTGGTATTTCATCGTACAAGGTTGGGTCGTCTGTTGTAGACTGTCTGGTGCATTATCTACAATGACCTCAGCTCAGAGAGTTGAGAAGCGATCGTTCTAGACAGTATATATATATATATATATATATATATATGTATATGCCTTAAACCTTTTCCGCCCGAAAAACGAATTTACCAATTATCTATACTTATTTTGCCATTCTCTATGCATACATAGGGCCCGCCCATAAAACTCCTATTACCACCTTTCCCGTAAGACAGGCACCTTTGGCTGGTCGTGCGTGTGTTTGGAGTCCTTCTCCCGATCGTCGCCGATTATTTCGGGCCACCTAAGACTTGGGTGTACTTTTGTGCATAATATGTTTCCAAGTAATCTCATCCGCCAAAAACGTTTCCAACTTTGAAGGTTTTGATAAACACATAGTACGAAACCTATCCTTCCGGGCAGTCGATTGAGAACACTGAAACCCCAAAGTATTTACTGATATTTAACGACACTCTGAAGGTCAACAGATCTCACCATCACCAAACGCATACTGCAATTTTACGGAAGCAAAGCTCTCTTAGGCAAAAAGACGGTATGCATATGATTTCATCCGCTAATTTCAACCAAATCCCCTAATTAGCAGCCAACCTGTCTTGACCTTGTGAAAACTGTTATTCCTGTGACGGCCTTATCAACGAAATTGAGCAAAGTCATTCTTGCCTTAGTAAACTGCATCAATGAAAAAACGGTAAAATTATAACAAATTCTTGTCAGACCGTTTTGAAAACTGCAGGCTGTTGACTAACTGCCGTACTTAATGCCACACTAATTCTTGACGGATATTAAAATGTAAACCCTATTAAAGTACTATTATAAATTGTTGACTGCACTAAAGTACCATTTTAAAACGTTTTTTTTTCTATTTATTCTCTTTTATTTACTCAAGTATTTGTATGTACAAACAGTATTTCTCATTTACAATGATTTTTGGCGCTCCCGACATTTCCTCTTTTCGGAAATAAATCGTTATTCCTAAACAACTTAGTACTTCTTTCATGTTTTCATTTCACTTAAAGTCTTTCATTATTAATTCGCAGTTGTGGTCTGTTCAGTTTGGCCGGTTTCCGAGATTAGGAATATTTCATGATTTTGCCCCAGTATTGTATTAGAGAAAAACGAACTTACGCAAGATCACGACGGCCACCTCATCGCGTCGCTGGCCCTCGGTCGGTTGCTCTGAGGGCCCGGCGTCGGCTCTGACCATCTCAACGGCGTAGATACCCTGCGACTCCTCATTAACATCCGTAAGCGTGTAGGTGACATTTGTTGGCACACTGAAGCAGAAGGGGAAGGCAGCTACTGATGTTGCCACTAACGGAACCTTGAGGAGCCTGAGTTTTGCTCAACATGGTGTGGTAGTTATGGTATTAGCATACAAGCTCATGCAAGATTTTATTCACGCTTATCTACATCAAAGGACATGTCCCCAGGATATGACCCTTGGAATGCATCTGTTACATCTTTGCAATAACTCCTTTATTTGAAGTCCGCCTCGATTCGTCGTCCAGTCTCTCAGATCGGAGTTTTTGTGGGTATTTCATGCCCCAAGGAGAGCAATGAACGTGCGAGTCAAGGGCTCTGTGGCCGCAGTCCAATCGGCTTCTAGACGAGAACCCCTGATGAGGTGTAAAAGTAGCATATCGAAACGCCGGACCCCTGCCTGCGTGTAGCAGATCGATCAAGAAGCATGACACACACTGAGGAGGACAACGGCTCGGAAGTCCTCGTGGCAGCATTCAAGAAGGAAAATATCACAGACTGGGAGAGCAGAACAGGGCGGTCGTCTCACCAGCATCGTCTCAAAATCCTCTGTTGTCATCGTTTTTTTGTGCTTTTAGAATGAACGATCAGTCCTATTTATGTACCTTAGAATTTTTGGTAAGATATGGTTTTGTAGGCCCAACTAATGGACACAATAGTTTTGGAGTTGCAGTTAGGTGTTAGGGTTAGGGATAGGAGTTAGAGTTAAGGGTTGGGGTCGGAGGTTAGGGTTAGGGCTAGGGTTAGGGCAACTATTTCTGAACCAGTCAAAGTATAACTGCCCATTCCCAATAGCTTTTCTTTTTTGCATACAACTACTTGACCTCGTCGGCTGTGCGTTTCTCGGTCCCACCTGTAAAAATCCCTATTACCACCGGTCCCGTATTAGAGGTGACTGGAGTTTGTTTACTTCAGGTGGGGCTACATAACCAATCTGACCAGAAAGTTAGCCAGAAATGAACATCCCAGTGTTTTTGGCTTTTTCAATAAAATTTATCCTGTTTAGGGGCCATATAAGTTAGTCCTACGGGAAAGTTTGTAAGATGTGGTTATGTAGCTCCACCTGATGGACACAATACTGTTGGGGTTGGGGTTGGGAGTAAGGGCTAGGGGTTAGAAGTTATGATCAGGAGTTAAAATTAGGAGTTAGGGTTAGGGATTAGGAAAAATATATCTCAACCACTCAAAGTGCAACCGCCCATTCCCAATAGCTTTTCTTTTTGCATACAACTACTTGACCTTGTGGCCTGTGCATTCCTCGGCCCCACTCGTAAAAACCCCTATTACCACCGGTGCTATATTACAGGTAGCTGGGGTTTGTTTACTTCAGGTGGGTCTAAATAACCACATCTGACCCACCTTTTTTATTCAACCAGCGGCCTGCATGCATTCACCATGTTGGCTTCCCTCAAAAATTTACGCTGAGAGTTCTTGAGACAGCGAAACCCGCGAGGATTGGGGATTTTGGCTGCAAGACGTGACGAGATATCCCTCTCCACTTCTTTGATTGCAAAAGACCTGTATGACTTTGTATGAAAATGATCGCTGCTACATTGTGTGATTCGGCATATGAGGTCATAGAACTGATTCCTGAAACTTGCGTGTTTGCTTCTGTCGGCAGTAACTCAAAATGCTGAACGACCTAGAGATCAGAGTGCAAAATGGCAGGTTTCCCGGCAGGCTGCTGATGTTGACAACGATGATGATGATGATGATGATGATGATGATGATGATGATGATGATGATGATGATGGTGATGGTTATGATGATGATGATGAGGATGATGATGATGATGATGATGATGATGATGATGGTGATGGTTATGATGATGATGATGATGATGAGGATGACGACGACAACGACGATGATGGTGATGATGACAATGATGGCGATGGTGATAGTAATGATGATGAGGAGCATGACGACGACGACGATGATGATGATGATGACGATGGTGGTGGTGGTGGTGGTGATGATGATGATGATGATGATGATGGTGACGATGCTGAGGATGGCGACGACGAGGATGATGATGGTGATGACGACGACAACGACGATGATGTTGATGATGACAATGATGGCGATGGTGATAGTAATGATGATGAGGAGCATGACGACGACGACGACGACGATGATGATGATGATGGTGGTGGTGGTGGTGGTGGTGTTGGTGGTGATGACGATGATGATGATGATGATTCCTTGCCGTCGTCAAAATCAGATCCTTAAAACTGCTAGTTTGGTGAAGGCTTACTATATCTTGCTTGCGCTTACATACTCGCCAATAATAAGCCCTACAAAATGTTGGATATTTAGTCAAATGTTTTGGATGTTAAAGAAGCCACTTAACCGTTATTTCTTGAAATTTACTTTTCGTTTATTTTTTAATCAACGCGCTCATCTTCGTTGCCGCACGAAAGCATACAACAAGACTTTCGTTTGAAATCCAAACTGCATCTGTGTTTTCCTGCATCTCGTCAGCTTACGGTCTAACGTGCTCCATTACCACCCTTCCCATATGACACGATCCACAGTCTACCGACAGTTTAATGGGGTCCTTAACCACACTGGGGAGTGTCATCGATCGCATATTACAACAGATCAGAGTATTCCAAGCTCTTTGGAAAATAGTTATCAATTAAACGGACACACCATATCCCTCCTTTTCTCCCACAATTATGTGTCAGCGGCTTTCTTTCACTACTGGTCTCTTCACGGACTTATGGATCGAAAGCAGACATATTTTAACTTTAAACCCGGTTTCCAAGTGAATGTGGGGCAAGCGAGTGTTGCTGTATGGGTTTTGTGAACAACTAAGATACCTGCCTAATTTCATCTCACCATTCGAAGACAGAAAAAGCCTAATACGGAGATCAGTAAATTAAGTGGGACGCCTGAGCTAATCAAATGGTTGAAACTAGAGTGGCGGTCTTCATCAAATTTTACGTGTGCGTCCAGTGCATCCTTCGGCAAATGAGAGGAAGAGAAAGAGAGACTTGAGAAGGCGAACTGACAAGGTGCCTTTTCTCGATTTGGAGCAGCTGCACACTTACCTGTAAATCTGGTGTTCCCCAGGAAATCCCGTTAGTGGATGTCCACTCTGGTACCAGTTGACCTTGAAGGGAATTTCACTGTCTACAAGACAGGTGACGGCCGCAGTCGCCCCTCTGGCAACTTCGATTTTCGCGGGACAACTCACCACAACCGGGCGCGCCTTGCGAGCAATGAGTGCGACCTTGGAGTACCGTTGGAAGTTGTAACCCTGACCATCGCGACCGGTAACCTTCAAACATTCATTGAAAAGTTATTGGATAGGAGAGAGGCAAAACATGAAATACCACCTCCATGCATAGTACTGTTAAATATTTTTAGGGTGAAGGCATTAACGGTTCGTTTTCACGGTACGTCGAAAACTGCTTAAGCTCCTGAATTATACTGACGCGTCAGATAGCAGCGATGAGACGCAACGGTAGAGGGGTGCTCACTCGTCCCGTTGTGCCTTACAGGCTCTCTCTCGAGCTCAAGCAACAGCTGCACAGCGGCGAATGATATAGGCAGAACGCCATTATCAACAAAGACAATGGAGACTGGAATGGCCATTTCGTCAGCCAGTCATACCCAACCCCGAAGTGTGGAATACCCGAGGCTCGAACTCGCGACCTGTTAGTTAGAAGTCCACGCCTCTAACCAATGGGCCACGAGCCCGTTGCCCTGTCGGTTTTCGATCGGGAATATACAATGGTAGGGGGGCGCTCACCGATCGTTCTTACGGAACCCACTCGTTCCGCTGTGCCTTACGGGCTCTCTCTCGAGGCCAACCAGCAGCCGCACAGCGGCGCATGATATAGGCAGAATGGCATTACCGACAAAGACAAGGGAGACTGGAATGGCCATTTATGGCTTATTAACCGTCGTCACCCAGTCACACCCAACCCCGAAGTGTGGAACGCCTGGGTCTCGAACTCTCGACCTGTTAGTTAGGAGTCAAACCAATGGGTCACGGGCCCGTTGGCCTGTCGGTTTTCGATCGGGAATATACAATGCTAGAGGGACGCTCACCGATCGTTCTTACGGAACGTTCTTACAGTTAGAGGCGTTGGACTTCTAACTTGCAGGTCGCGTGTTCGAGCCCCAGATGTGCCACATTTCGGGATTGGGTATGGTTGATTGACGATGGCTTATAAGCCAGAAATTGCCATTCCAGTCTCTATTATCTTTGTCGGTAATAACTTTCTGCCTATGGGAAATAGCCTAAATCTTGGCTATGTGGGTTGTGCTTTTGTTGTGTATCTCGCTAATTCGAACGACAAAAATGGATCGTATGGGATTACGCTATAGAAAATTGTTGCATCTCCTATATCCTTGGCTCTCTGTGGTGTTTCTATGGTCATGAATTTGAATATAACACTATAAGTGCGGTTGAACACGAGAATATGTACCCCCGGTATTAAAAGTGGTCTTACCAAAAATTTTAAGGGAGGGGGGAGAGTAGAGTTCGGGGGTTAGGGCTAATTTTAGGGCTAGGAAGGGTGGGATTGGGGTTAGGGTTACGATGTCGAGTGCTAGGGTTAGGGTTGTTAGGATTAAGTTCAGGGATAGGAGAGTTAGGGTTAGGAGGTTATGGTTATAGTTAGGAGGCTACGGTTAGGGTCATGGTTAAGGTTGGGAGTAGGAGAGTTGGTGTCAGTGCTAAAGTATCCCTTGGAATTTGACGTCACTCAACCTGTAGTGCTCAGGCGTACATATTCGCGTGTTCTATCGTGAGAAGGACAAGATCTTATTTCGTAGTCCCAATTGTTAGGGGTTAGGGGTTTTGGTTAGGAATTAGAGTTAGGGGCCAGGGTTGGTGCTAGGAGTTAGGGTTAGGGATTAGCGTTCGGGTCAGGGGTTAGGATTAGAGGGTGGGTGTTAAACCCCCTATTACCACCGGTCCCGGATGATAGGCAACTGGCGCTCGTCAACCGCAGGTGCGGCTAGAAAATAAGATCCAACCGTGACAAGTTTAT